TACCACTCCAAAGGATGAATGGTACTGCCCTTGGGAATGTGATAGCCGTTGTACTCATCGTCCTGAATCAGGTAGTGGGGAATGCCAGTGGGGACTGGTGGGCGCCATCGAATGCACTCGCGAATGATGGCTCGCAAGAAAGGAAGATTGGGTCTATCTTCTGAACGTGGCATCCTGTCTCCACAGACACGATCGAGTTCCTCGTGTAACATCGGCAAGAACTGTGGGTAGTGTGTCATGGCCAGACAAAACGTCTGCATCGGAGCGGCGATAGTAAGAGCTCCGGCGATGCCGTGCATGCCAACAGCATATGCGCCTTCGGTATCGGACTTGAAACCCCATTTGCTACGACCATCCAGGAAGGTTTTCATCCAAGATGGGGCTGCTTGTCCAGACTGCACATCGTTCACGACTTGTTCTTGCATGGTCTGGAACCATGTTCGCTCAGTTGTCGCGCGTCGCCTCTCCCAAGCCTTGGGTGGGGAGAGCCAGTCTGGCAGTGACATGAGGAATGGTAGCTTGTTGCTCAGAGAACCAGTGGGCGAGACACCGATGAGAAGTTCGCGTGCGCGTTGCTTCAGCTCGTCACTACCTTCGCTGTGGCCCCAGGCCAGTCGACAGGTGACGCGAGAGATGAACGACTCAAGGATGTTGTTGTATTGATCAGGTGCGTCCAATAGCTCGGCCAGCATGCGTGTTGATTCCATTTCAGGGTATCGATGGAACGCAGCCTTTTCCGACTCACGCATGATGATGTTCGCAAACTTTCGTTGACGAGTATGGCCCTCTGGAAAGCGTTAGGCACAATGGCATTAGGCGTTTGTGAATGTGACTTACCATTTCGACTGAGAAGCGGGAGATATTGCGCGCTTGAACGGTTGTCGTCGATCAAAGAGGGAATATGCGGTCGATCGGAGTAGATGGCCGCTTTTTTCGAAAGCAAGTCCTTTGCAATCTGATCGCTAGATATCCAGACATGGTTATGGCCAGCCAGGTCGCACTGATAGATCGGGCCATATTGCTTGCCCCAATCCGCGAACTTGATGAAACCGTTCTTCTCAGGCACCTCAGGTACTGAGCCGAGGATGGGGTAGCCTAGTATATGTTGGTTAGTCAAGTTACTTTTGTGATCATCAGGGTCCAGCAGTAGACCTTCGCCTATGCGATGTGACGGAGAAATAAGACCCATACCTTTGGGTCCTGGTAGAGGCTTTCGGCCTGTCGGTATTCTATGACGACGAGATGAATCCCAGTACCTGTAGAGTGCATATGCACCAAGCACAGCTACCGCTAGTAATATTGAAGGAAGCCCCATAATGGCAAACGGTCCGTAGGAAAAGAAATCACACCCAGCGTGACGAGGACCAAGAAGTTGGGTTACGAAAGATGTGCAGCCTTAAGAAGAGATGCGGGTGCATGAGGCACTACATATAGCACCTGTAAGTTCCATGGCAGGAGGGTCACTGCCTGAGCATGTAAGCCTACTCATGTGGATAGTTTCGAGTACCGATATTCCGTGCGCAGCTACGGGACGCTGCGTGTCAGAGCCGAGAGAGTGGATCATGTCCTCTAACAAGCATGACGCCTGTGATTACAAAAATTAGCCTCGCTTGTTTGACCAGCTCACTGGTCTGCAAGGACCACGAGTTTTCTGGCTGCGCTGAGTATGCAGCATCAGTGCCAAGGCAGGCATAGTATGTGAATCCTCCGCGACCGTTTTCGTTTAGCTTGCTTAGGACCAAGCTGATAAGGAACATCCTGAGGAAAGCTGCAGGGCGATCGCTGATAGCCGCAGTATTGGAAGGCTATACATCGACGATGTTCTTTTCCGCATCGTTCTGGGCAACTTGCTGTCCTGGTCACCGGTAAGTGACTGACTCGTCAGACGTTCCGAAGATAGTCGCAAGAAGACAATTTGTCAAAGCTAGAAAGCTATTACTCTAAGGATGTTCTGCCTGAACTCAGTAAGCAGATACGGGTTGTATTGCACGTGTAACACTTTGCGAGAATTGCACATGCAATGTTGCCACCGGGGATCCCTAGGAGATGGCAAGAGGTACAGCTGATGCTGGCTGGATGGGCTGAACTGACGAGCTCGGCGATGAATCCGAAGGATGCGGCCGTCTTGGAAACACGAGTATTGTGACAGTTGGCTGTCGTGTGTCAGGATGATGATCGGTGCTGATGGTGTTGTTGCATATGGGGCTAATCTATTTACAGAGGCCTTAAAAACCAATGATCGTCCGGCAGTCGTGCGGATCGCCCCATTTGCGACCATCAGCCTAAAGCCCCTGCTCGCTTCGCGTCCTCTTCCCAAAAGCGTCAACCCTGGATGTTATCTAAGTGAGGAGAGCCGACGTTGCAAGTCCGGCGCGCCTGAGATTCTCTGCCTTCCCTCCAACTTCGCATTGAGGCTTCTCATCGCTCTTGCTCAGTCACGTCATATTGCCCTGCATTGGACCCTGAGCCTATTGTCTCACCCACGCCCAGGCGCAAAAGCCTTCGTCGGCGACCGCGACCTCCTCCGCGCCGAAGTCTGCATATCTTGACGGTGGCGTGTATGACAGAAACACCTGTCTCGAAGCAAAGTAAGATCGCTTTCGCTCCGTGCTCCTCAGGACAAGCATGAAGTCATTATGTTTGCGACATCACTCCTTGAAACGATAGATCAGTGTACTATTTGTAGTAATGATGGTGTTTCCACTAGGGATCGCGCAAGTAGCTCACCCGCTGTTTTACCAGCAGTTCCCGGCTAGTGTGTACTCGTACTAGCCAGGTACCGACTTACTACAGCTGTCTCCGTAACTCTTTAGGCCGGTGCCGCTACGAACATCGTTCTATCACATAGCGGTTGCCGATATGCCGATATACTCATCAAAGACGACCCCAACATGCTCACTTGCGTCGAATGATATGGCTTGAGCTCTGTGCCAAGTTCGCGGCGCACAACGGCCTCGCAGAACACACCACATCCGGATCGGCTGGTCCTCACTCGACGCGCAAACTCCAGATGTTTCGTCTGCATAGGCGCAGATACCACGATCGAATCGCCACCTTCTCAGAGTAACATGGAGATTTCTTCCAGGCAACGAGCTCCAGGTCGAAGTCAGCCGCAGGAGTCGCTTGGTTCTACGGGCCCGAATGCAAAAATATACCAGAACCCCAACCAGAAGATTGCCAACCCACTGAATAGTGCGGCGGCAGAGGTGACGAATATCGTCACACGATGCTGACTCGAAGAGAACCGCTGCTCAGCATCTTCGAGCTTGCAGTCATTCCTGCGCGTCATGTACCCAACAACCAGGTTCCGATGAGTTCCAAGGCTATGTTTGGAACGAAACACCACGTCATGTGCACTGAGCTTATCAAAATTTGCACGACCACAGGCATTACAGCATCTCGACGTTGCATAATCGTGCGGCTTCGAGAACGCTTAGGCTCCATCTCAAGTCCATGTTTATGCAGGGTAATCTTTACATCTGCAGTATTACACATCTTGACCAAGTTTTGCTTTGCTTTGATGTCGCACTACCTTAGACACGACGTTAGGATATCATCCGACACGGAGCCGTGGAACGCGCGGCCCGATTTTTCCGTGGCCCATGACAATGTCACCTTCAAACGACATACCGCGATACGCAAGCTCGGATTCTACGGTGGTTGGGGAGCATCATCAACACAGCTTTCGGCGAGAACACGCGGCACACGATCAATAACAGCTGCCATCCGCTATCAGCAGGGACCCCTACCACACTGGGAAGTGATGCATTATGCTCTCTATCAGAAATTTTTCACCAAGCCCGTGGTGTTGCCAATACATATGCTGCCTCTTCTCTTCTTTGCAGGAATCTTTCTGCTCACCACGGACTCCGCCCGTGTTGTCTCCGGACCGCTGATATTGACCATAGGGCTTAGAGTCACTCCCTCTACAGAATTGATAGGCAAGGTAATGATCGAGCGTAGTGATTCGCTCTCTGCAGCGATGCCCACCTGATCGATCATTGGCGACCTAAAGACACAGCCGCTATCTTCTTGCGCCATGCTTGTGACCATAATTCTCGTGGCTAATGCAACGCATGCAGCCGTAGACTGTGAGCCCACATATATACAAAACTCAAGCAATGGCTGTCATCATGGTGATAAATTGCTGCATGAATACCATGAACCAATGATTGCAGCCTGGTGTTGCCTTGCACCGCAGCATTGTGCGTCGCAGATGTCCGAACGTGTCTGTGCAACATGTCGTCTGTCACCAATTTCAGGTCTGATGGTCGCCAAGGATACTCTACCTGTCGATGCTCTTGAGGACAGCAAAGATAGCGCATACCACAGCGCTGTACTAGAATTCACTGACGGTCTAGTGAGCTTCGGATCCATCTCTTTTGAAATATATGAGAGCGGAGAACTCCGTGCCTGTGCATTCACGTGTTGGACTGAGGCACACATGAAGGTATATGGTATATGGAAGTTCTGTTTAGCAGCGCAGAAGATGGCCTAGTTCATCAGCGCTGTAAAAGAGTCATGTTTGGTAAGAAGACATGCACTTCCAGCAACCTGTCAGGGTTAAAGCTCTAAATACTTGTCTTCTACAAAAGTACATCTAAGAGACATTGAATTGTCTTCCCTACCCTCTGCAGATGAGGTAGAAGAAGGCTGTTAGATGGTCGGCGCGGTCATGTGCGAATCTGTATTGTCGTCTCATGGTTCCCAAATCGTGTCGAAGGCGCAAGTGCACTTCGACTTCACGCCTAGTACTGTTGTTCATGAGCGAGGCCACTACATCTCGAGACTATCGCGTCCAGAAATTTTCAGAAATTTTGATAGCTTCTTCTGGAATTAACTTCATGAAGAAACGACGACTAACACTGCGAAAGGGCGTCAGGCGTGCCAGCATGTGTTGCTCCGCACTTCATTCCGAAATTTGAACTCCGAAACTTTGCATATTAAGCACTCGCACCTACAGAAAGAAAAGCTTGTTACTCTCACCCATCTTTTCAAAAATGGCCGAATCACAGTATGTCATCCTCGAAGGTCTACCGACACCGCAAACGTATCACGATCTCCGAAAGCTCGCTGGGATGACACCCCCACCCATGGAAGCCGTACCCAAGTCACTCGCCAACTCCTTCTGCTGCATCGTCGGGTATGAGCGCAAACACATGCTTGACGACAAGACTCCGGCGCCGGGGCAGGAAGCCATCGCAATGGGTCGTTTGGTCGGCGACGGGTCGCTATTCCTCATCCTGGTGGACGTGGCGGTGCACCCAGATCACCAACGCAAAGGACTGGGAAAGCGCGTCATGCAGAAGCTTGTGGACTACGTGGATGAGCACGCACCGTCGGCATATGTGAGCCTTGTAGCTGAAGAGATGGCACAGAAACTCTACCCAATGTATGGCTTCAAAGATGTGGCGCCTAGTATTGGCATGTACAGGATGATTCGAGAACGGAAGCTTCAATAGGACATGGTAGAGGATACAGAAAAGGAAGCTTGAGGTCACGAGACCTGCTACCTCTTTGGACTCCATCCATCAATTTTGGTATGCAAGCTGTCATATTCAGAATCCAGTCTGAAGACGGTGGACGTCGCGCCGGTCAAGTGCGAGGCTTTCACATGGCTGGGCAGCTGGGCAGGGGTTTGGTTTGTGGGGTGGCACCCCACCGATGGCGTCGATGCGCATCACCGCCCAGACTTGACGAATTCACGCATCCAGCTCACAACACTGCCACGTGCGCGGTTGAATCCCACAGCATACTCACGCGATGCGCGTCTATGAGCACTTGTGATGCCTATGTGTACTTCTTCCGATCAAATGATGTCACCTTCTCCACCCGGCGTCAGGGCCGAAGAACGCCCACTTTCTGTATGTACAATGATACCCGTGGGCAGGCCTGGTCCGCTCTACACGTGCTATCTCCACAGTGCGCGCGTATTCGGCGCGTCTCTACCCTTATCTACATTTGTGAAGATGAGCTGATTCGTTTTGCAGCTACAGTCTCTACCCAGCGAATTGCTCCAACTCATCGTTGCCTACCTCGACACTCCTACGCTCAAACAGGTCGCTCAAGTTTCCCAGACATTCCATCAACATGCCACGGATTTATTGTGGCGTCATGTCTGCTTGGTCGACCAGTGGAAGCTGCATTTGAACGAAGAGACAGACAAGGTATGGGGCGAACGCGGTCGTGGTGAGCCAGATGAGCACGACGACACACCCATCATTCAGAAACTGTTTATACTTGCGACGTAGGTATCTCAAGTCTTTCATGAGAACCATGCTAACGTGTCAGTAACCCTACGATCGCGTCCAAGGTCCAGACACTGTCGCATCGATGTCACCTGCCGTCTCCGAACATATTCAGCGAACTCCCACGAATGCGCTTCGACGCCGATAATCTCTCACAAGACGATCGACTACATATACTCCTCAAGCTCTCCATACGGAACCTGATCAACGTGCATACGCTGCGAATTGTATATGGGCACTACAAGCTGACGAATGCACTCGTCACTGGCTTCCTTGATCAAGGTCGACCACGACGTGTACCTCTTCGTAAGCTCTGGCTTGAGAGCTGCAGCTTCAACAAGACTGAGCTATGCCGGCTCCTACCAAACAAAGCTACTGGGCTCGAGAGCATTCGGCTGCGCAGGCTTGGAAAGGACATGTCAGATCAAACACAATGTCCGGGGCTACAGTTTTCCGAGTTCAAGCTTTCCCGTGGCGGACAATACTACCAGATGCATAATGGCGCAGGAGGATTTGTTGGAACTACTATCCACTTCTCTCACGAAGGTCTGCCAGAACGCTGGCCGCGGTCTTCAACAGAAGAGTTAACGGAAAAGGCCAGAGCATACGATGCTATCATGTGGGAGGAACTTCCTGAGATTAGAGACTACATCGATGAGAATCCGGTGCATTCCGAGCCTACATCACTTGGACAGTTCGTGCCTGACTCAAAGCCCCCAATGGAATGGCTAATCGCGTGCTCCGCATCCAATCTCACCAGTCTCAACCTGGATTGGATACACTGGCGTCGAAGAGAAACAGAACTCGCTGGTTCCACCACTGACTCTGAATTATTTCTCTCTGCACTAAGCAGGCTGCGTTTCCCGCACTTGCGCGCATTCCAGATTCGCAATGCTGTTTTACCACCCACAGTACTCCCAAAGGACGTTTATCTAATGGAAGGACCTTTTCTGGATTTCGTCGAGGCGCATCCGAAGATACAGTGCCTCGGGTGGCCGATGGACAAAATGTACAGCCACACCAAGCCAACTCTTGACATACAAAATCGATCTCGAGCTCTGGTCGCCCATTTAGCAACAACGCTCACGGACCTTCGCATCGATACGCAATATGCAGGGCCCGGGGAACCTTTCACGGCGATATGCAGGACGGCAGAGGATATGCAGGAACGTACCCGGCGGCGAAGATTCATCGACGAATTCGTGCCTCACATGCGGAAAGTCGAGCAGATCAAGTTAGAAGGCGGTATACCACGCGACGAGAAGCGCGAACTACTCCGAGCATTACACTGGTGTCCGCTGAAGAAGATAGTCATGATTGGCGTTTCTTTCCCAGCAGGGAATACATGGGGGGCTGGCGGACAGCAACTCAGCGCCATCGACCCAGGGCAATCCGGCTCAGAGTTCATCTACAACCTTGAAGACGAAGACCTTTCGGGCATCTTAGCCGCATATCGTCGCGGGTTCCCCATGCCTGTGGACTTCACCTTCGAACCGAGCTACGGTTGGCCACCCCAGGCGCCCCTTCTTCAGACCGTCGCCCTGCACCACGCGTCTACGGTTGAAGAGCTCAAGATCTGTGGCTACAACGGCTGCCCAATTCTCTCTTACACAACACCCATCACCAACCCTCTTCTCACCGGTCTCCGCTCCTTCGACAACCTCAAACAACTCGTCATCTCATTCTGGCTGATGACTTGGTATGAAGACTCGTACCGCGACACGGAGATCATCCAGTCTTGGATTGATACACGCTCCCCTTCTTCGACAGCACTCACCATCGTGACGCCCCCGGCATCGCCAACCCATGATCAACCCGTCGACCCAGGTCAGTTTCCCAACTTTGGTAATCCACGCGTTGTGCCACGGGCTCAGAACTTCAATCGGTGGGCTGTGGAGCTCAGGACCAAGTTCACACCCTCTGCACTCGCATATCGTGTTGCGCGGGACATTGGGCCGTTCCTGAGTGATGTGGCTAAAGAGAGGAAGGGCGGTGTAGGTGTGAGGGCAAGCTTTTGCCTGGGTGTGAAGGAAGAGAGGAGAACTGCGAGCGACATGTTTGATTTGGACATCAGGATCGGGAGAGGCAACCAGGTGTTGGAGTTTGTAGGCCCTAGAGAGGAAGGTGAGAAGGGGCGGTGGTGGACGAAGATCGAGCAGAGGAGGTGGTTTTGAGTGATGGAACGAGAATGTCTGGCTTACTTGTTGTTAGTGTTCAAAGCACTGGTGCATGTTGATATGCGAACTGGGCCAGGTGCGGATCTTGTATAACAGCTGGTGTGTTAGTCGAGACTTGTTTATCTGGATATGCAGAAAAATCAGGTAATAGCAACTGGCAGTGTCCCCCGGTTGTGATTTGTCAATCAGATTGGTACATTTGCAGGTATAATCGACACGGTCGTCTGCACTCGAGTGATGGGTCGCGGGATCGGCCAGCCATTTGTGTACATTCTTGCGTTCGGTGGTGTAGCGTGTAGAGGTCTCGGTGTTCCGCTCGGTGTATATCCATCTAACGACCTCGATAGCCTTCGCTTCCCTAAACTCATCAGTGCATCATCTGCGGTTGATTGGCACAGTCGGTGGCTTGATTCATGCTTTTATTTCGTGACAGAACATGATGAATTTTCCGTAGTTATGCCTCCAGAGCTTTGCGCTCAAACGGTGATGCCATCCTCGTTGGTGATGCGAGGTGGACAGCAACCGGGAGAGGGATGACAGAACGCCCCATGCCGAGCAATACCATTTGCCTATAAGAACCCGCTTTCCGATCATGCACCCGTCCGAATGGCCTTCATCGCGCCTCTACTCCTCCTCGTCGCCAACCTTAAGCTTCATGCGTTTACGAGGACTTGACGGTGGGGCCCTTGGCACCCTTGGGTGTGCCAGTTTGGAATCCGTTGCTGAACTTGCGGTTGACGGTCTTGAGGTATCGCATGCGGCCGGTACCGGTGGTCTTCCTGCGCTTGGCCTTCTCGCCCCAGTTGACTGTTCCAATGTTAATCTTCGCGTTCTGTGTGTGCGCGTCTCAGGTACACGTACACTTGCGGGTCTTAGCAGCAGGGTAGCCGCATGAGGCGCAGGTGTGCTTCTGGATGTGGAGGGATCGTTGACCTAGACATTGAATTAGCCCTTGCCTCTTTCCGTGCCTTCGCATTCCCATTGCTAGCTTCCAGGGAGGTATCACGTACCGCAACGCCTGCAGAGCGTGTGCGTCTTGTTGTGGCGCTTTCCGAAACTGGAGGTACCCTTCGCTATATCGCAGTCAGTCTCGAAGCTCGTGGTTGCGGGTGAGGGTGGGAGTGCGGCGTACTCATTTTGGCTGGGGACTAAATAGGAATCGTCAGTAACCGGTCATCTACACAGCAATTCGGGAGAGCATACCTGGTGACGCTGTTGTTAGTATCGAGGGTGGGAGTGATCGCGGTTTCGTCGTGCGAGAGCGAAATCGACAACAGCTTAGCGAGACACAATTTCGAACGTGTGTGGGGCTAGCCGTTTCGGGAATGGCGCGACGGGGCTCCACCGGCAGGCACGAGGGGCATCAACACCAGCAGGAACATCGTCACCACGAGCGGCAACTATGAACGCTCTGCCATCGCTTAATCTGTTCTTCCATCGATTAATTGAAAGGCCTCAACTCATCCACATCGAAGACGCCTTTGACTGCCACTCAGCTTTTCGGGACACCCTCATCAGCGATCTCTACGGACATCACGACGGCTTTATCACTTGTAACCACGGTCATTGCTTGTAGAATGTTTCTAATGTTAGTGTCCTAACGAATACCATTTCCGATTCGAGTAACGCGCTTAAAAGAGCGAGAAGTTCATTACTCTACCAGCCATGTCACTAAGGTGGGATGAAGAACAGCTGTCAAATTCCGCAAAAACTATCATCGAATACATCGGAGAAACTTACATCTCATCATGCATCATCTAGGATATATGATTACCTGCAATGCCGGATATGCACCTTATAACGACTTGATTATGCGATCGTGCTCAGGTCGCCGGTTACGAGTTGGTTGTCGCATATCTCGTCGTATTTCGCATACCCCAGAGGAAGAGGGTTGCAGACTCAGAAGCGCCACCGATACGTTACTCTGCCCATGTGATCAATTACAAGCCAGTACGGTTAGAAATAGTGCAGGTCGCGGCTCGGGACATGGCAGTCGACATTTAGAACCATGTCGATTGATGACTGCACCTCCCAGCTGAGTTCCGCATATGAAAGTCCTCACGATAGATCACCCAGCAATACACAATACAGTCTAAATAACACAGCCTATACTGTATGTGACATTTGTGACATATCTGTGGCTCATCCGCGGATGTCGGTAGAGCTATGAGAGCTGATACCGCACGTCAAAGTATCGGAAGTGAGCTTCAAATGAAGAAGGTATCCCGTGATAGCACACATACCGCCCAGTCCGCAGACAAGATACCTCCGAGTCAATATGATACAAAATATTCCCGTGTAGAGCCGCCCAAACTCATCGTCACCCAGTTGCGCTAATGTTCCCTCGCAGGTACAGCAGCTCTTCCAAGTCCCTAGTCATGCCCGTTGGATGTGATCGCTGAATCCCAAATGCATCTTTGGCAATCGGCTGAGCTTACTTTGGCTGACCCTGGTTGTTGAAACCGAAGTCCTGGTCAGTAGAGTTCGCAGAGTAACCGAACGGAGGATAACCTCCGCCAGAATAGCCACTGCTGTACTGACCGCCGTTGTTGTAGAGGTAGGGGTTTGCAGCGTATGATGGGCGCTCTTCCTTGCCGTTGCGGCCAGCGTAGGCAGGACGCGCAGTCCAATGATTGCCGTTCTGATGACCGTTCTGATAGCCAAGACGAGCGTCATTATGGCCGTCCTGAGGAGAAGACATGCCGTGCTGCATCACAGGCTGGAGTTCGCGGACAACCTCAGGGATGTTACCATAGTGACTTGGCAGAGAGTGTGGAGAGCGCTGGTTGTGCGAGGGGAACGGGGGCTGAGGAGTGTGTGGCGGCTCAGCAGCCTTCTGGTCCATGGACTTTTGCAAAGCCTGAATGATCTGCTTCATTTCCTTCATTTCCGCCTCCATGATGGCCATCTTCTTATCCTGCTCCTTCATCGCGTCCGGAATGGTCTCCTTGATACTATCCTTGATGGTATTCACGGTTGCGTAGATGTTGTGTTGATTGTCCGCTACTTCCCTTACGCGATCGATGGAAGTCTCTACGCGATTGGTAGTTTCCTTGACAGCATCCAGATGAGATGAGAGTTGCTTGAAGCGTCTGTTGATCAGTGCCAAAGTATCATCATGCCTCGCCTGTGATGTACGTTCCTGGTCCTTGGCGAGCTTCTCTAGTGCGTCCCAAGTAGTCTTACCCACTACATCGAGGTGCTCATTGGTCATGTAGAAGTGGTCCTCGGTGGTCTTTGGTGCAAGCGGCTGGGTAATTGCGCTGTAAGACCCGGAAGGCACACTCGCGCGTGCTGAGAACGGAGGACCAGAAATCTTGTGAAGCGGACTGGGAACGGCGCTGGGACAGTAAAGCTGAAAATCGCCGTGCGATTCACTGCGGCCTGGGCTGACAGTGTTGAGCATATCAGTCAGCCGTGAGGAGGACTGGTCACCGAGATTGCCGTTCCTTTGTCGTGGGTTCTCGCTCTGCTCTCCAATACGCAACTCTTGCATGACGCGGGTTGTGATGCCAACGTCGGAGCGCCGATCACCTTCATGAGTGAGCTGCTCGTTTTCATCGACTTCGCGAGCGGTTGGAGAGTTTGGCTCGATATCCTGGCGGTCTCCTTGGAAGATCATCTTGATTGAGCCGTTGGCCGACTCTTCGCGAGGGTGGAGGACCGACCGTGACCTTGCGGGGTGTGAGTAGAGAAGGCGCGTTTCGTCAGACTGAGAGAGTTATTAGCGTTTGTACCAGCACATTAGAGGAAGAAGCGGGGTACTGCGTGTGAAGGTACCTGGGCAAGTAAACGCTGAAGGGACAGATGACGACAGGCCCCACTTTTCGGGAAGGTGAGAGAAAGAGCCCTGGAAGCAATAAGGGACTTACATTCTTAGACGGTGTCTCGCCTTCAGCGAAGGGGAAATGAGTGATGCGGGATGGAGAATAGAAGTGCGGCTGGAGATGGGGACCATTGGCGGGGTTGGTCTCTTGCGTTGTGTTCGGACACTCCTCCCTCAGGCGGTCGGGACGAGGAAGGTGCAATGAGCCAAGGCCCGCACCTGCCAAAGGAGCATGGTGTTTGCCTTCTGCCTTGGTTGGCGAACTGTCCCCGTTGGGGTAGGGCCGTTGCACTGATCCATCCTCTATGAGCTTGGTGTAGTCTTCTGCGGTATATGGGCGGGACTTCGCGGGACTCGATCCACCATGTCCAGGCAGGATATATGACGAACGGACGGGCGAAAGATCAAACTTAGGGAACTGGATGCGGCTGATGTTGTCGTTGAAGTCCGAATAGCTGTCACGTAAATCACCACGCGTTGGCGCAGCCCTGCGAAGTGGGCTGGGCTGCCTATCAGCTGGTGGCGGAGTATCCTTTGCTGGTGGTGAAGGCGGGATGACTGAATCAGACGATTCGTTGACATCAGGCACAAGGCGTGTGTTCTCTACGTTGTGCGACTGCTTCTTCAGGCTACCTCTACCCGGTGAGCCACGGCCACTCGTGCGATGGCGACGCGAAGATCCGCTATGATGGCGATGCGCGTAGCTGTCAGGATTAACGACCTTCGCAGGCAGAGACTTCACCGTGTCTGAGCGTGAAGTCCTTGTAGGGGTGGACTCGACAGGGCGCGCTGGCTTTATGGGGCGGACTGGGATGATGCGAGCCTGACGTGATGCTGTGCCCAAAATCTGCGCTGCTTTGTTTGGCATTGCTGGTGGAGCTGCAGCGCTGGAAGACTTGGAAAAGGTATTACGGAGGTTCTGGAAAAGCTTTTTCTTTGGGCTTTTGGGCGGCTCCTCGCGTTCTGGCGGTTGCTCTCCGCTGGCGATCCGGCACTGTCGTCGCAAGTCTTCTGTTCTGATATAGATGTCGTCCTCGTTTGCCGAATCTGTAAATTTTAGCACGAGAGTGCATACACAGTAACATAGACTCACCGATCATTGGAGTGGGCGGGACTTGACCAGTCATCTTGAACAGGTTCTTCTCAGCGCGAGATTCTACCTTGCCTCTAG